CTTTGCTGTATGTGCAATAAGACTTATTGTGCGATGGTCGCTGCATTTTGTAGCTTTTGTCTTTTTCTTTAAGGCAATCATTGTAACTTCTGTAAAGTCCTTGGGCCACTCTCCACTTTCATATATGGTGTTCATTAGTTTTGTCAGTGTTTTCAAACCACCTTCTCCCAGTAACTTGAGCACATCTCCAGGTACATCATCATCTCCTGTAGCCTTTCCCTTCCTCATTTCCTTGATAGCTTTTTCCGCCTCACTTTGTAAAATATATGGTCCTTTCTCGTCTGTATCTACTTCTTCTTCCAGTTCAACTTCTAAGGTTTCTGGCCGATTGGGTCGCTCATATAGTTCTGTAATATAATTTTCCCAAATTTTCAGCACTTGCCTCTGATCTACTATTCTATTCCCCTGGGAGTCTTCGATGCCAGTGTTTTGAATCCCATGATTCTCTTTCCATCCTAGTTCCTTTGTCTTCATGTACATCAAATCATAATGTCCTGTTCTTTGAAATTCTATTATCTCATTACATATCTTCTCAAGATATTCCTTTTTGGCCCTGTCCGTGGCTCTTTTCAATTCATTCCTCAGTCTCCTGTATTTCCTCCTGCCTTCTTCATTTCCTTCGCTCCTCCATTTTACTCATCATCTCCTGTGTAACCCATGGTTTTCTTGCTATCTTCTCAACTTTACCAACCGAATCACTGATAGTATCTAACATGCATTCTTTTATGTTGTTCCACTGCACTTCAGCATTTCCGCTTTCACCTTCAATTGCACCGAGTTTCTCTTCTAGGGTCTCCTGCACGCTTTGTCTTTGAGCATATAACTTCTCCAAATCCCATCTAGGTCTGCGCTTTTGAAATCATATAATTTTCTTCAACCTGGTTCGAAACTTGGCAACCATTAATTGTGGTCAGAGTCAATATCTGCCCCAGGCAGCGTCTTCACATCCTTCACACTATTGGCTCCATCTATTATAGGAAAAAGGTAGCATCATCATCAGTGATGTAGACCATCATGGCATCATTAGAAAACTGCTGAATTCTGTTTTTAAAGTACTTCATTCATTCATACATCAGTTAGATTTTCAGACCAACTCATGCACGACATATTCTCCCTTAAGTTTGCCTATACAAGGTATGACGTAGCCTCATTCGTAGAGTAGTTGGGAGGCTACAAGGTGTTATGTGATTTCAGAAAATGGTTCAGCATGTGCTTGGTGATTGGAAGGTAATGACTCGCATATTGCAGGGAGTAGAAGTGACACATTCAGTTCCAAATGTCCTCCTACATTTGCTGCCAGCTCTTTCACTGAACCATTCATAATCTGAGTAGTCGCCCTATGCGTTTATTGTGATTACTGATAAGTCACTCTTTATCATGTTGATTTATTGTAGGGCCAGAGTGGTCATATACTCTCGTTACTTGTAGTAAAGAAAATCATGTATTGGTTTTTATCGCATAGTATAACTGTAATATTGTGAATAGTAATAAGTAAAATGTAACAACAACACCTGTTAATATAGGACAGCGGCCTTAAGTTATTTGGTAGGTACGCTTGTGCTCCATCATTCTCAGAACAGAGGGTACACTCCGCCATGCTGAATAGGACATTGTTGAAGCATTTCAGGGGTCCCAAATTGAAGCAACAATAAGTGGTTCTTGGAAGTCATCACTGTTTCCATAATGCTACCGTGTACAAGTCTCCTTTACATAGGCCCATTTTCTCTCAGGGTAACAAGACCTTATGACCACCCTTTCCTTCACAGATGGCATTTCTTGTAGTTAGACATTAGTTTAATTCTCCTATCATAAATATTAGAGCAGGGATAGCTCAGTCACTGTGTCTGGGTTAGGGGCTGGATGACTGAGGAATTGGGGTTTGATTCCTGACAGGATCAGTAGGTATTCTCTTTTCCACATGTCCAAACCGGCCTTCTGTTTATTACGGGCTCTTTCTGTAGGGGTGCAGCTGAACATGCTTTTGTATGTATTGTCGCTATTAAGAATGCATGGAAATATAACACATTCTTTGTTACCATCTACTTGGTGAGGTGCTTAATGAAGCACAGGGACAACTTCATCTTTCTTTTATTTTGTGAAATATATCACACATCAAACAACTCAGGAAATGTATTCATCAGGCAGCCATACAGGCTTGAAAATTCGTCTGATTCTGTGTCACACTGTTTAGGCGACTTACATGAAGGTCATGTCTTTCTATCTTTGAATGACCTTGTATAAGCACCAGAATAACTGGAACTTGTTTTAGTTCAATGCATATTTTAAATAAACGCTTCCATTCAAGAACACCGTTGGTTGAAATACAACAGAAAATAACAGACAATTTACATGAAGACCTACAGGCATTTCTTTGCCCATCTCAAGGGCGACTGTTTAAACAGCTATCGGTTCAAGAGGTGACTTAAGCAAAAAGGGTAGAAAAAATTAAACACACAAGTTATGTTGAGTGCATTTCTTCAGATCTGCAATAGTTAAACAAAAAGAATTCTTTGGTGACTCAGTCTGTGCAACTCGAGATCTGGATAATTTTCATAAGATAACAGATATCAAACGTCTTGGCATCAGTGTGTTGAAGGTTTCAATACTTGCGAC